TATATATATATATGACAACAATATTATTCGGAGACAGTTTTGGGTGAGTTTTATGATCCATCTAAATTGGATTCAACCACGACTGAGCTGCTCTGCATCCGTGTCCGTCTTTACTTGTACCTCATATCTCTCTTTCCTGATCTTGCATCTTTGTGTAGCACTTCTGTATTCATATAGTAAAGCTCAGGAGTATGACATGTGTTTGTTACTATCTATCAGCTAATGAACATTTTGCTTTGTTAGGTAGCTTGTGATAATAATGCTCTGCAAATTTAAGCTTACTGTGCTATTGCAGTTGGAGGGTTAATTTGCAGAAACAGATATCTCAGTGTTTTCTGTGCACTCCAGGGAATATCAATCAAACTGGTTTGAGATCAATCATGTTTTTTTATTGTTCTCTCATGGCAATGTATTGTTTAATTCATTTTAAAAATGGCATTTATATTGTTTTGCAAATGAACTCTTCCAGTAAGAGTCTTTGCAAAAAGCCTAATAGTAGATGGCTGCTTTTATTATAAACCCACCCTAAGCAAAATCTCCATCAACAGCTTTGTTTCTTGCTGTTCTTTATAGTTCAACACCATCTGGCCCTAAAATGCTTCAGTCTCTTGGCTGCAGTGATGTGTGCTACATTCACAAGAGCACTGTTTCACTGCAGGAAGTGTCTGACGTTGAGAACAAAAGTGAGAAATGAACTATTAAGCAAAATTGTGGCATTATGGGTGTAAGTCTCTGGTGTATGTGTACTTACAATTAGTGACGTCGGGTGGAGGGAAGTTGTCATTGATAAAAAGGGAGGTGTGTTTGGCCACACGGAGGTAAACGACGTCAGGAGTCGACTTCAGGGCAGCCACTGCGTCCTCATGGGTTACCTCCTCCAAACAGGAGGCGTTCACCTGGAGACACATGGAGACACATACTCTGCATGACAGGAATAAACACACAGACAGCATGTAGACAACATTATGTCCAATGTTATGCCATGGCAGACTGCAGCAAAATCATACAGTGTGGATGTAGTTTTGTGGTCTGTACATATAGCTGGATGTTAATTTAATGGAGAAGAAGCTTTAAACATATGCCGAATGGGTCTGCTGCTGCTAACGGGCTTGGATGTAGAGCAGAAGAGTAACAATCTAATACAATTATGCCCTTGTACACTATCCCTCTCAAATGCACCTAATTCAGTCTTAGAATATAACACACCCAGTAGATAATACTTGAGAATTTAATAAAGGGGGTAATGGAGAGCCTTGTTTTTGCTCTGTTCTCAATTTAACACATGTCATCCTAAATTTGGTAACATTACTGTGGAATAATTACATTTCTAGTTTTATTAAGGGCAAATCATTTCATCTTTGGTGTTACTAGGGGATATTTATGACATGCAAATTCAATAATAGCAATTCATAGCAGGCAGAACTTGGTTATATTAATAATGTTAAGGGATATTTATTACCTACCTATACAGGGCTAATAAACCTGAATCCATAGCAAACTTCTTTTGTGTTGCCTTTTATTTGAAACTTTTTACATTATAAAACAAATTGTGTGGTTAGGTGAACCAATAAAACTTGATGTGGATTTCAATCTGTGTACTAGACTCTAGAATATTTGCATGATAATAGGTGCAGAGAATAAAAAGACAGAAGAGGGAAGAAGAATTAAAAAGAATAAAAATTAATTTCTTACAGCCACAAGTTTGTCTCCTATCTGTAGCCGTCCGTCTTTGTGTGCAGCCCCTCCCTCGATGATCTTAGTCACGTAGATACTGTTGTCGCCCGGGACATGTTGGTTTCCAACTCCACCTGCTATACTGAACCCTAAACCTGAGAGAGAACATCAACAGCTCATATTTGTTTCCCGAGGATGTTCTTTATGTTATATATTTATTTGCTGCATTTTCTAATTTTCTCCCTTGAGCCCTTTTACCCGTTCTGATAGATTTAATACAGTTCAATTATAGGGAAGTAAACAAAAGCAAAATCAAATTAGGTAAACCATATCCTCTCATATATTTCATATGTCCATTTTTTAAATTGCTCTATTAATCTTTTATTTCCCCTGCTCAATCATATTACTGAATCTTTACTGCGGACAAATGCTGACTTATCAGCACCAATCAGAAAATTGTGTCTCATCATACTTTTCTCAATTTCAGGCACCAGTTAATGTCTTTATTTCCTTGTTTCCTTATTATGCAGTCAGTAAGTAGCAGGACAGGAGAAGCATGTCAACACCATCAAACAACAACGAAGTCAGTGTTTTACTTCAAATTGAATTTCCTACAGACTCCACTGTTTACCATTGTAGTATTTTCTCACCTTTGGGCCCTTTGACCAGCTTGATATCCATGATTCTCTCAGTGAGGCTCCTCCTGCGTCGTATACATAGTCTGACCAGACCTCCCGCCTCCTTCAGCGCCTCCACAGCCCCGCTGTGGGTCACCTCCCTAACATCTGCCTCATTTACCCGGACTATACAGTCATTCACCCTGCACAGCAAAGTCAAATACAGTGGAGATGTCATTTTACTTGCATAAAGAGTAGTGAAGACAAAGGATACACATCATCTCCTAAACTCTCGTCTTTCACTTTGAAGATACATATCTAGTTGGGAGAAAGCAAAGTGGGAGCCAGCTGCTGTCAATTTATTTTAGTTGTTTGGCTTCTTTCCTTTTTAATGTTGGATTAAGGTAAAATAAAGTTTTTTCTTAAAGCATGTGTGCTAGACTCACTAATGTGAATTTTGTGGTTCAATCACATAGCCTGAGGAGCTCATAGCTACTGGTAAAACAACACACGCACAACTATATTCACTTTCCATGCTAAATGTGTTTCCTGTGAAAATGCTCTCCCTGCAGTGCTGTTTCAAAATATCAAATATCAAATGTTATTGTCAATTTGTATTTAGTCTGCTGCTGTAAGCTGTACTTGCATTGTGAGGACAACATCTCTTCACAGTCATATTGTGAGGAGTTGACTCCCATTTTGTAAGAAAAATATGGTACCACCCACAAGGTTAAACATCTTATATAAGATTTAAGTATTTAGGTTACAGTTAGAATTAGAATATTTCATTAATATTTTGTGCCTCCTATTTTTCGTTTATTTTACTTAGGTTAACTACTACTGTATATATATGTGTGCCTAGATTTATTTAGTTTTTTTCCATTTACTTTGTTACTTGTTCTTTATTAATTACTGTAATATGTTGTCATGTGGTTAATGTTAGAATAAAGGTTGAGATGTGGGGTTAGAGTTATGTGTGTAAAGATATGAAATCATCCTTATAATTAACAAAAACAAAAGTGTCATTATGTATTTCTCATTAACAATTGACTGTGTACACGTGTTTCCCTGTGATTCCTACGCCTACATCTGTATGCACACATGTCCCCTCGCATGCAAGTCTACTAAAAGAATGTACATGCTTGTGGATTGATGACTCAGCCCCCACAGAGTGTGTGTGTGTGTGTTTGTATACCTGAGTCGTCCATTCTGGGCTGCGGCCCCTCCAGGTATAATCTTGGTGATGAAGATAGAGGGGTCTTCTCCAATGTGAGGATTATCAGTCCCTCCTGCGATACTGAACCCCAGACCTGAGTTACCCTACACAGACACGAAGTGTGTTTTAATGGAACAAATGAACATACACATTGGTTTTTAAAAGATCATTTCTGATAGATAAATAAAAGAGTTACTGTTGTTAGACTCAAAAATGTATCTGCTGAGAAATCATCTCTCCATCCAGACCAGAAACTTAAAAAATATATATTATACTGAGATTTCAAGATACTTTTCAGTAACAAATAAACATTATAATGGAAACGTCACACACACACACCTGGGTAGTTTATATACCTAATCACAGGCATTGCTCTGTGTGTGTTTCTCTCAGTCTCTCATACTTTGTCGCTGGGTTTGAAGCTAGTGTAATGCCTGTGTCTGTTTGCGTGTATGTCCATAGTGTCTTTAAAGCAGATCCCGTCAAGCAGACAGAACCAGGTCACGGGAGAATAGAGTGAGAGAGGGAGAGACGAAGAGAGAGAGCCTCGGGTGAGAGAAAGGGGAATATAATGAGAGGGGGGAAGAGGATCAGGAAAAAGAAAGTAGGGAAGGATGGACGAGGAATAGAAAGGACAGGGAAATAGGGTCAGTGGAGTCGGACCAGTGGTTGGACCGAGTGGAGGAAAAGCAGAATGATGAAATGAAGGAGAAAAAGAACTAATGAGAACTAAGATCGCTGATTCAGATTAGATGAAGGCGTGTATGAATGTATCTTTAGGACTGATTTGGGTTATTTTCCCATACAGTTTTTGGAGAATTAGTTAACAACTTGCTCGTGTAGTAAGGCTTCAGTGAGAGGTAGAGGTAAATAAACTAGTGTCACCTCCAGTCTGAAACACACACTGTAACTTGTGTTTTTTGCTTTCTTAAAACATCATTCATTGAATTTACTTCAGTCACAGTGCTTATGATTATGTATACTCTACATTTCCCTCTAAAATGTTTGGCAGCCTAACATGGCAGTGAGTAGTAAGTAAGTTTTCTATGTACTGCGATGGCTGATTCAAATACATTGGTTGACTTGATACATTTAGCATTAGTCCTAGTTGCCAAAATGGTCTTGAGCTCTTGTTTTAGTTGGATAGAAATTGCCTGTTTAAAAAATCAATGTGCTAGAAATAGCTACAGTATCTTGTCAGAATCTCACACCAGAAATATTTCCACACCGTCTCAGTCTGTGTTTGCATCTTTTATGCCTCAGCAAAGGTTCCAGTTCTCCCAGTTTAAAGTACACAGACTCAAAATCATTTCTGCTCTCAACTGCACGAAGGATGTTTTTAGCGTGATTATGGAGGAGCGCTCGGGGAGGACAGGGGTCAGTCTTAACAGATGGAGGTACTGTCACCGAGGGGCTGATGTGACTGAGTACATCGACAGTGTGTATCATTAGGCATGCATGTTGGTGGTGTGTTTGCATTGTGAGTATGTTTTTACCCGCTCCAGCGTGATTTCCTCGTACTCATAGTCTGCTTCTGTTCCATTGACCTGTCAGAGAGTAGGAGAAGATAAGTGCGTTAGTTAATTTAAGAGTAAACACTGAAAGCTGTTTTCCTGTAATGGACACTAAAATGCTCATTTGATTTTACGGTAAAGCTGCTTTTGACATTCATAATTCATAATGTTTTTCCCCTGTGTCATGTCAGTTGCTATTGGCAGGTGCACCGACGTCTTGTGTCGCATTAAACCTACATGTTTATCACAGCTTATGTGTCTGTGTCGGTATATGTGCCATAACCTACAGTATCAACAGTGGCAGAGGAAGGATTCAGATCCTTTACTGAAATATAACTACAAATACCAGACTGTAAAAATACTTTGTTACAAGTAAAAGTCTAGCATTGAAAATATTACTTAGTATTAGTAAAAGTATGTAACTATAATCAGAAAAACATATTAGTAAAAGTACTCAATGCAAAAACATGGTGGTGGAGCTCATTTTTTAACTATTTTGTATAAGACTAAAGCTAATCTGATGATTATTTTTTCCAATAATAGATTGATTGTTTGGTTTGTAAAATAGTGATATTATTGAAAATAGTGAGACATGTCATCACAATTACCCAGAGCCCAAAGTGACTTCACAATAAAATAATTAAAAGGAAAAGCAGCAAATC